GTCAACGCCGTAGGTGCAAAGAGCCCATAGATGTGAGAGAACTTCTCGTCCAACATCAGTGTCTGACCTCAAAAATGCTCTCTAAGAATAATTGTCTATTAACATAGTGTGCAAACAATGCTAACTCAAAAATAAAGTCTCACCTTGGGTTCATATGTGTAAATGGTAGCATTGCTAACTACTGCTATGAATATATTTTAACTTCTTTTCTGCTGGTGTTGCCAACTGTCCAGTTTCTTACAGTATAAACATTTTAATTAAATATTTATGTACATATCAATGCAAAAGTCTTCACTAATTGCCAGTCTCTTTTTGAGTAACTTGTTTTAGAAAGTGTGGAAGTAGTTTACTGGTCTAATCAGATGGAGCTAAATGAGGCAGTGAACCGACTGTAAGACAGTTTCATTAACAAGCATTTAACTGTGAAATTTATGTTCCGGGCTGAAAAAATGACAAAGATTTTCACCAATTTCTCTCTCATTAGATTCCAGAATTCAATGCGCCGATCCTTGTCTTGTACGAATTCAGACGTCTCACGTGAATATCTTTCTGCTTCGGCAACAAGAGAAGAAATTAATTTTGTTTTATCTACTGATCTGGTAGAACAAATGTACAGCTGAAACCAGATATCTATGTACAGTGAATAAAAAGACACAAATAGGTGCTGTGGTGGTGCAGGGTTAAGCACAACCCACATATGGAGGCCTTAGTCCTCAAAGTGTCTGTCGCAGGTTCGAATCCTGGTCTGGTGACCTTTGCTGCTCGTCTTCCCTCCCTCTTATTATCTACTTTCCTGTCTGAGCAAAAAAAGAAACACGTTTTATATCCTCACTGTTTGAAATCAAATCAAACCAAACTTTCCTTGTTCTAGCTTAGTTAGAATTACCAAAATTATCCCTCAATGCCACAAAACTCGGTGAGAGCATTTTTCTAATAAATTTTATTCCAACTTTAGTTGAATTCAAGTAAAATGGAAATAAACCTTAAAAGTTGGACCCAAGTCATACATTTTAAAAAGACAAGTTATCCCTGATACCAACTAAGGAAAATTAGAAAAAACAACAACTTGCGACTTAAATTTTCTAACCAAGTTTTTTGACATTTAGCAAATAGAAATAACTTTGGTAATTTTAACTAAGCCAAAACAAAAAAGGTTTGGTCTGATTTAACTTCAGACAGAGAGAGAGGAAAAATGTTTTCATCTTTCTACGTGTAGATACATACCATACCATATCAACTTTATTTATAAAGCACTTTAAAACAACCACAGCTGATACATACAAATATTTTATGGGTTCTAACGATTTACAGTAAACTCTGCTGTGGGATCATGTTTCAGCACAGAGGTCAACAATGACACAGCGTGTCCTTTCTGAGCGGAAAGCCGAAGGGACTCCTCTGTCTTAGTAACAGAAGTTCAGTTTTTATTTTATTTTATTTTTTTGCAATTACTCTCGAGGTGGATCTGCTGCTGTCAGTTTGAGATGCTGACAAAGGATGCCCTTTGCCTTTGAAGTGCTTCATCTTGCCTCAGGTAAAAGAGTCCATAACTTGGCAAAAAAAAAGAAAAAAAAGAAAAGGGAAAAACTTTTTGTTTAGTTCTCCGCCTCAGGCAGGCTTTCAAACCGAGCGAGCGTCTCTGATGTCAAAATATACACATTACACATCCAAAATACCACGTCAAAGGGAGAAAAGAGGAGGCAGAAACATCCCCGCTCATCTCATCAAAGTACGCGCCCTTCACTCTATCAGGAGAGTGTGTTGCACATTTCCTCCTACCTTTTGAGAAAGCAAATCAGAATCCACTAAAAGCTTGTTCGCCTGCATTATTAATGCACTCGGAGTGAAAGAAGTAGCCAGGAGTTACGCCTTGAATCCAAATCTTTACCCGACGACGTGGGGAAACAAGACGTCTCTATGAACATCCTGTGGATCGATAACCCTTTAGATGTTGAATATTTGATGTCCCGTTAGCATGATTTCATGCGGATTGATTTTAAAGGATCAAGCGGACACGCCGCCGTGTGTTTCCCAGAGGTCGGAGGTCAGCGCAGTGTTTCAGACGTTCTCACCTCCACGCCGGATTTTGTTGTCATTCTGCATTAAGTCAGACGTGTCGGCGCCGGCTCCACCTTTTGGCTCGTTTTCTGAGCAATTTCCAAGCTTCCTGCAAAAAAATGAATATGCATTGGCTCTGCAGCGAATCCATTTGCGAGACAGAATGATAATGAAGAGAAAGTGCTTTCAAAAAAAAAACCAAAAAAAAAAAACAATTAATCTCATGTGAACGGCAGCTCAATGCCTCTAATGAGATGCTGTTTTAATAAGCCGGTGTGTACTACAACAAAGCCGTTTGGAAAACATTATTGTTGATTTGTTTGATGACAAAAAGGCGACGGAGTGAACTGGATTCCCTGGAAGCAAAAACATTTATCGGTGCTTGATGTAAAGGAAATGTGCAATTTAAGTCCTGATATGTTTGTACTCTATTCATTTTACTTATTTATTTTACCCATGATGCTTTGCGTTAAAATTTGCTTTACAACTCCCAGACCACCAGCCGTACTTGTAAATGCACGTTCTCCCACAGAGCAAGAGAAGAAGAAGAAGAAAAAAAACTGTGGTAATATCAACTTTTTCCTAAATTGAATAGTGCTACCATGGTTACGCCCTCAACTTTCACAGACCGGGACGGTCAATTCTATGAGCAGCAAATATTTAGTCAACTCCACTCTTAAGAATGAGAGATGAAGGTAAAAATATCATTTAATTTGATAAAATAAGCCGTTAGGTTGCATCGTCACCAGCTGCGTTTCCATTAACCATAGAATTCTACCTATTGAAAATATGAGAATAAATTCACCAAATGGAAACATGCTAAATTAAAAAAAAAAAAGATCTAGTTTTTTGATGAAAAGTTTTTGTTCTAGGATGAAGTGTTTTATTTCAACCGTATCAAAATAGATGTATTTCGCAAAACTGCAATGGAAACACTTGTACTGCATCACATGAGTCACCTGATGAACAGCTGGATGTTACTGCTAGAAACAGGAAGTGGCAGGATGATGATGGGTTTTTTCCAGACAACATCCAGCTGGCTCCACCTGAGCTCTCTTAGCATCACGCTTCAGAAAAAGTAGAGTTTGCCGTTCCAACATGTTGAATCCATAACTCTAATGTAAAATTTCCCCAAAACGCAGCAAATGTAGCAACCTTAATCACAAACAAATTTTTCTGTTTTTGTTGTTGTTTATTTCCCACACAGAAGGGCAAACCAGACACGCAAAACTGTTCCTGCTAATTAGCTACAGTTTAAATAATTTAGTTAAAAGGAAAAATAAGCGAATTTCTACACAGTTATTGCATATTTCCCAACATTTTGTTTACCAGAAGCTGAGATTAAATCACTTTAATACCAAACAGCTTCTTTGAAGTCGACCTCAACATTTGGGCAGAGTCAGGTATACGCAATAACCACTGACTCACCGAAATCATGTTTATCTCTGTAAAGGAGAGCTCTTCCAAAACAGACAAAGATTTAGATGGAAGATCTTTACGGGAGTCTCATAAACAGCGCAGCGCATCACACTCACGAGCTAATTTCCCTTTTTTATTGCACCATGAAACCAAACTTTGCTCGCCTGAGTCGAATGCGGAGACAGAATGCCGCCGAGCTACCAGAGAGCCGGGCTGAGTGGAGAGCAAGCGAACGCTGTTGAGACACGGATCAAACCTGAGCGCTAATCGCCGCCTTGTAAACAACACGACTTTTCAGAAGAAAACAAATGTGCTTGTTACGGACCGGAGGCCCGCTGACTGCCTGGATGTGTTTACTTATTCATGGAGGTGGAGAGGGGCCCGGCTACTTCCTCAAACCCTCCGTCCCGCCAGTTATCCTCTCCCTGCTGTCCGACAAGAAGGGGGGCCGACCCAATTAAATATGCATGCTGACCATCCAGTGGAGATTAAAGTTCTCCAAGCTTTGTGCTTCCCTCGTTAAATATTGACGAGCTCGGCTCTCTCTCCGTGTGGCCCGAGCGTGTGTGTGGCTGTGTGGAGGTGTTGCATCCTGACCCAACACCCAGAAAGAGGAGAGGGAGAGAAACAGAGAAAGGATGGGGAGTATATAGTTGTTATAATATAGATTTTATAACAACTGGAGGTAACATAGTTACTTGATTGTGTTACAAAATACCATAATGTGGCTGGAAAATTCATAATACTGCCCCTTTAAAGCAGATTGACTGAGAAGTTCAATCAGATGCAGAGGGTAAAAACAACCAAAACAGGGTCAAAATTGCAATTTCAACCCAAGATGGCCGACTTTCTGTTTGTTGTAGGCAAGGGCGTAGGAACGAGTCTGTCATTGGGGGGGACGCATAT